AATTCGAGCGGAATGCGAAACGTTCATACTTCGGAGCGCGAACGCGAGATAATCTCTCCGGGGAACTTGCAGCGGCTAAGAAGTTTGACTTAATTCACTGATACCTTATGATTCTGGAATTGAATTTTCTGATCCCGTCCCTTTGAGGCATCCCTCATCATCCATTCGATTGCTCCGCGACCCGTTCTTTTTCTCGAGCCTTTCTCACTTGGCTCCCCAGTCGACGAATTGACCGGAGCAAGAGGCGTGGGAATCGACAAGATTTGGGAGCACGGCTCCAGAACGTGCCAAGCGTTCTGAGCTGATTAGCAAGCTGAGAAAAATGAAATATTTAACGACAAGAGCGACTAAGTCCTCGGCTTACAATGACCGGTTGTTACTTACTTCGAACAGAAGACGACAGGAACAACATGACCGTCAACTGGCTCTGGCGTCTTGTGCCCCTCAGCTAAGAAAACCCAAAATGACCGGAGCGCTTCCATGGGTCGTTCATCCAATCAGCAGGCAATAGAATCACCATGAGACATTTTTTCCCTCATTCGATGAACGAGATCTGAGTTTGAGATCATCTAGCGAAGCTACGATACGTCCGGAACGTACCAACGATTCCGAGCCCCCCGAATTCTGGCCCTATAGCTTGGAGCTCGCCATAGTTATTCCCCTAGCTTCGTACTACAGCGCTGGCTTCCGGAAATCTATTCTGCAAATCACTTCAGTGTCGAGACCGATGACGCGAAAGCTCCGGGCTCTCGGGGCGAACCACCCGTATCGCCTCTATCTGGCTACGTCGCGGCGAACCCTAGCCGTGGAGGACAGGAACTCGACATGCTCATTGTCGGATTCATTCGGGCGCATTCGGCTCCGCCAGTTGCTATGGGAGTTTCTAGTCGATGAATCAAGAATGTTAGATTACAGCGCAGCCGGGAAGCCATTGAGTGATATGACTAGAGCTTCGATGAAATCGGACATTCCGATATCACGTGCACTCTCTAGACTCCTCCGGAACGTTGGAACTCGGACTCCATTGTTCTCCCAGGAGACATGAAATTTCTCCGACTTACGGACCATGATGTCGCATGTACTTGAGCCCATGAAATTAGTCGCAACCGTCAAACTAGAATCGAGATGTCTTGTTCTATCGAAGCTCTAGATATGACCCGTTTGATCTATCGAACCGATGGAGCCCCAGAATTAAATGGGGCTCCCGGGAGGCAACAGCGAAGGATGATATAACCTCGGACACCGACGCTTGAGCGGAACGACATCATCGGATGGCAGTGCTCGAAGGGCTACTCCCTTGGTATTTATTAAGTACTAGCATGCTCGATGATCTTGAGCGTCCGCCCCGTCAATTTCGCTGTCATAGCGACCGAGCAATTGAGCTGGAGGATTATTTGGGGCAACGTCTCTAAGCTCGTCGCTCAATGGCTACCTTCCTATGCAGACCGAGCAGGTAGTCGGATTCCGCGGCTCCTATGCGATGATACCGATCCAACGAGCGGCGGAAAGATCGACTGCGGGACGGACTTACAGACGAACGGATTGTCGGCCGGGTAAGCAGTTAGGTTGGTAGCAGCAGGTTTGAGGCAAGACATGACCAAAATGAGCGAGCCGAAAGAATCGCAGCCATTGGGGCGTTTTGCTGTACATCGCGCAGACGTGAATCGAGCGATTCGGTTGCCGGTGTGTCGGCTTCAGTGGCGGCTGCACCCCCATCCGGCGCGCCAGATTCCCGCAGAGAGTGAACAACAACAACAACTGAGGACGCACGACTTTTACTTTTCTGACGTCTAATGCCGTCGCTGATGATCTGACTGAGGCCCCGATTACGGACCTGCCGCCGCTGCGGGACTGCCTGCCAGCCAGCCCGCCGGTCACCGGCTCTGACTCAGTTACGGATCGTCTCGTGGCCATCAGTATCGTGCCGATTGCGCGCTGCGGCGGCGATGCTGTCCCGATGATGAACTTCCTCCCCCCTCCGGTCGATCGACGAAGATCAGCTGACCGACTAACCAAGAGAGTCCGAGTCTCGCTCGGAGAAATCACGAGCATTCGTCGACGGAATAAAGTCGCTGGAAGACACACCACCGGTATGAGTATCTGACGATGCGATTATTCGATCATCAATCGACACTTCGATTACTTCCCCATCAAGCGACAGAGAGTATAGGCCCGGGGGACGGCCGACCGTTTAAGTCGGTCGAACAATGTATTCGGTCCACCGCGATTGATTCCGTCCCACGACCGCGCCGCAAGCCGAAGCATCAAGAGTAGCTACAGCAACAGGACAACAATCGCAACAACAGCGATGAAGACCCCGCTTTTCGGTGCCGCGCCACTGGGGAACTAGAGTGTGAGACCATGCTTTCAGACGTGATCGTCGGTGGACTTTCGTCAGTGCTTCTTGTTCGTTCGTTAGTTGCCGGCGGTCGTTAGCAATCATCGGACTGGGCTATCTTGCCCACGATGTCTTGACAAATAGCGTCATCAGCATGAAGAGAGGCTTCTTGTTCGTTCGGATCTCGAGCATTTGCTTGACAAACGGAACAACCAGATGGTCAGCTAGATATGCGGAGCGGTCAGAGTTCCACAGTCGACGTTCGTCGTTGAAGACCGGTGACACCTACACTCCCGACTCCGTTGTAGACCACGGAAGCGGAGAAGGTCTGGGGGAATGAGGCTCCCTCCATCTATGGAATATTCCGAATTTCCTACTCCTTGTAGAACGAGAAAATCGGGTTCTCGAGCGACATTTTGCGTCGACATGTAACTTTTCCCCGCCGGTCGTCCTCATTCCAAGATTATCCCCCGGCGACAGGTGACGAGAGGATCTTCTGGCACCTCGTCTTCTTCGCTGCTAATCCCCTCGAGAATCCTTACGGCTTGAACAGCGGCTCAGAACACTTCGATTGCGCCGCGTGTGGCTTGCCACTGGAATATGACAAGGCTCTCCGAACAAGTCTCGCGTGACGCGAAAGAACCGATCCCCCTCACGGTGTTCGATGAGGATCCGATGGTCGAACGCCGCGGAAGAGGTCGAAGCACGAGATGACTGATGTGACGGTGCAGCTCCGGTGACGAACCTCGAGGAATCATTTTTCTCCCAAATTCTCATTGAATTCAAACTGTCATCAGCTGAGGCTCACGAGCCTGTCAAAAGATCAAGCAGCGCAGCCGGAGACTACGCTTGCCCGACTCGCATCGATATGGGAAGCCTTCCCTCAACGAACAAATTCGAAAACGCATGGCCACGCCAGCGAGCGATCGGCCAGCCGGCCATTGGACGAGCACTCACGACCAGACGATGTCCACGACGGAGTTATAGTTCTTCACGGATACCAATCTCCTTGCTCGACTGATATTGTGGGATGGAGCTTGACCGACTCAGTCCCGCGGATTTTGATCGCCGTGGTCGAAGGCCGGACAGTTCCATAGCATCGGTTAGGTGTGCCGTGGTACGTTTTCGACAAACGACGCAATGATGGGCAACGTCGTCGTTCCCGTAGTAATCGTGGTCTTCATCAAGTTAATCACGATGTTAATAACAGTTATGAGTATCGGTAATATTTGATAATCGTGAGGAACAGTAATTAGCGATGATGACAGATAATAAGCGGGGACAAAAACCGTAGGGAAACAACGAGCTCGGTAGAAAGTGAAGATGAGCCGCAGCGGTGAGCATCTTACGAAATGTAGATCTACATAACTTCTGCCAACTCAATAAGGATTCTTTTTCGTCTGCGAGCAGCCAGAAAACAGGCCCCATTTTATTTTGCATGCCGTTTATATTAATGTTGCTTGGATGAATATATTACATATGTATTTATATGTCTTCGTCTCTCGCGTCAATTGTCCCGTGGCACAACTCCCGAGAAATCCTGAGATTCATCGTCGAGCAGTGGGTCAGGCTTCCAGATGTGGAGTTCAGCACCGAACTTGGAGGCTGCGCCTGCGCAAAGTCAGGCGACCCCAGTTTTTCGGTTCATGAACACTTTATACCGCTTCAGCCCAAAACGACGTTTCTCCGTATACCGTCAGATCTGGGAAGTAGAGCTATCGTTAATATCCTGGCTCTCCCTTGCGAAACCCCTCCGTTGAGATTATCGTCGAGCGCTCCCCCGTACTCCTCAGGCCTGGGAGGATCCGCCGTCTGCGACGGCGCCGACTTGGAGCGAGAAAAACTCAATAATCGGGGTACACGTGGAAGTTCCGTTCCAAGCCAGCGGAATTAGAATACTTCCTCGCCGGTACGACCGTCGGCCGTCGATTGGTCCCGGCCAAGAAACCTCGAGCAGAGGAATTTTTGTTTCTCGTCACCGTCGTTGAAAGAACGGCAACTTCAAAAAGCGCTCCCAAACGACTTTTTGTTGTATGAGACGTATGATAAAACGACAAGCGACCGCATCCCGTGGCTAGCTGCGGCTTTTTGTGACCAAGTTTTGCGTATTTCGAAAGTCAATAAAAATGACGTTCCTTGTGCATCGAATCGGTCCCATTTATCATTACTCTTACTCGGAAGGTACAGTTCCGCTCCTCCCTCCGTGCTTGTGATATTGTGATCAGACTCAGTTCCGAATTACACCGGCTCTTGAGCTGGTATCGATTCCACTTTGAGAAAGGGAGGAAGAGACTATGCTTTCATCGATATTCTCGCTCATTCCTTCAAAAACAAAATCAAAATCCCATCGACGAGTGCGGATATTTTTCAGGTCGGACGGATGGACCCTTCCCAGTCCGCAGTGTTTACGAATTCGTGACTTCAGATGACAAAAAAAGCAGAGGAGCAGACTATCGGTAGACAGTGGAACGACGTCGGGCCAGCTTTGAAGCTCAGAATAATTACATTACGTCGATAAAGAGAGAAAAGAATGTGAGCGCGTTTTATCGCCGTAGTTAACGCGCAGGCATCACAGAAGATGACGACGACGAGCAGTCGCCGCCCTTTCGGCGTAAGCTGCGCGATTGAGCTTCTCGCGATTGTATCTACCCACCTATTCTTCTCAGCGTTTTCTGTCGGCTTTTAACGTCAAAGCTCTCTCTTCAACGAAGTGCTCTACAGTGTCGATCATGACGTGACATTCCTCGCTGCGCAACAGTCTTCGGAGTTTGCTCAAGTAATTCCGGACCTGGAGCACTTGCTCGTCTGCGCCCATGGTTTTGTACTTTTTCAGCAGCTGGTCGCGTTTCTCGTCGCGACGGCGGTACTGTTCGAGCTGATCCTCGAGTTTGTCCTGTGGATGGAGGAGAAATTCTAGCTTAGAGCGTTGTTCGATGATTCGGCGAGACTCTAGGAGGAAGCTCTAGAGCGCGAGGCGGCCGAGTCTGGTTATCGCTGAGACGAAGCATTCAGAACTACGGCCTCACTGGAGCTGTTCACTATCGGAATGACCCGCATGGAGGCATTTGCGGCCAGGCGTCTCGTGAGACTTCTCTCTCGCAGGGAAATTCGTCCCATCTCGCCGATGATGTCCGGAAACAACGTTCGACTTCGCTTTGACCCATTCGAATGCGCGCGAGGACACCCAGTCTCCTCTCACGTGTGAGACAAGTTCTAATCTGCGATATTCGTCGTGATTGCCACGCAACAGGGAAACCATCTCGTCTGGGGTGGGCCCTGATCTATTTTCGAGTTACGTGAGAACGGAAAGCATCAAAATAAATAGACACCTCGGGCCCGCATGCTTCACTTCATGGCAGTGCGGCTAATTTTGCTGCCAATTTGATTTGGTGGTGGTTCAGCAAAGAAATAATAATTACACGTAGTCGACCACAGTGTCGATAGCGATCAATCAATAGAGCAAAATTCGATCACTTAATCGATGAAATTTCATAGGAGAGGTGCCGAGTAAATATAAAATCGTGGAAACTCGCTCAATAATTCACTGGAGATCAATCACAGCACTGATTCTCGCAAGAAGTCGGATCAACGCAACGTCCCCCAATTATCTGCGAGGAGGAACTTTTCGCGCTCGGTCTTCCGTCGGGATGCACCAGAATCAGCGCGGTCGGACTGGACGAGCGAAGCGAAGTTCTTCTCTCACGAAAAATACAAGCTAGGTCCCCGGAATGAGAAAACGTGCTCTCGACAGTAGGGTTTCTCGGGCGGCTCCGATCGCCTACCTAAAAGCCCGTCGGGCGCTCTTCCCTCGTGATACACGTGGGACGTAGTCACCGTCAGCAGTCATTGTTCGTTCATTTTCTTTTCGGTGACGCCGTCCGCATACTTGCTGCCGGTGCCAGTACTTGTTGTTATTGTTGTTTCTGTTGGCGTCGACGCTGGTGGTATCTTGTGGGTCAGATATGAAGCCCCAGAACAGTATTCTGAGCTGCCATTTCGTTTCATCACTGGTATCGCTTCTGTTTTTAACTTCAGTCTTCTGCAGTTCCTCGGGAGTAGCGCACAATGGAAAGGAGAAATGGAAGACTATTCTTCCACCGTTGGTCTTATCGCTGTGCCTCCCGATCCCGTCTCGCTTTCCCTACGCGCTGAACGTCGGATGGACAACGCTGAGAGGGCCCGAGAGATAAAGAGGAAAAAACACGGAATGACGAGCGGCATAGTAGCTCGAAACTAATGTAATCAGCCATAACAATGCTGCAGCCGCCGTTGTCGGTGGCGCAACGAGTCGACATACACGTAAAAAAAAAATGCACAAAAATCTCCGCAATCATAATGATCAGCAGGCCGAGCACCGTGTCTCACGTCGAATGGGTGTGTTATTATATTTTTGAGCAACATGATTCGAGGCCCACAGCCGTTGAGTCAGTGTCACGCGGTGCTCTATGAGTTCTGGATTACGGTCCGGTGCTTGTCTCGCCGTCTTCCGCACGTGAATATTGGCCGTCATTTTGTTTCAACAACAATCATTCGTCGTCCGAGCCAACATCGTCCGGGGAGACAGTTCACGCATGATCCGTTCAAGCTCAGCGGAGGCATAAACAAACGCTCGCTGCCGGAACGAATCGACAAGAAATATCTGGGTCGGCAAAGCGAGCCTAGGTTACTAGGACTGGTCGAAAGAATTCTCGTCGCATCGCGCCGTTCCGATACCGACATTCTGACGGTTTCTGCCGTTTCCGATTCCACAGCGACCTGATTCTAACTCATCCCCGAGCATTATTTCTAGAATTCTGGCATCGAATTCCCCTTTGACTGGAAAGATAGCGCCGAAAACCGAAAACAATCGCGGAATTCCCTTCCTATGGCGGCATGGGGCGGGTCGCAGCTCCAAACTCCTCGAAACTCCTTGATGAAGTCCGGTACTGGCGACTTGGAGCCTTGAGGTACTCGGGAACTATGCCGCTGAGTCCGGGTAGCCGAAATCTCGCCGCGCGTATTCGACGTCGATTTCTGCAATTTTCGAAAGCCCGATACCCCTCGTAGATGACATGGTTCCGAGCACGCGATCCCACTTGTTCCGGGGTGCGGAAAACTCGGACCTGCAGTTCGTGATATCATACAAATAATGGCAGGAAGTCATCGCTCCCAATTGGCCCAGGTGAAATGTTCTCAGGATCTGCATACAATGAGCCCGGCGAGGGAAAGGTCGAGAACATTCGAAGGATGGAGGTAGGAATCACTTGAGGGATAGCATGCCGTGAGTGGACGGTGGAATTGTCTTGCGGTCGGAACAGCAGTTCGACCGTGCATTAGGAATTCGGAAGTTGTCAAAGGGGAGCGATGTTTTCGCGTGTTCCCTCGCGACGGCGATGGGAATTTCTGCGCGTCAACGACGAGTGTTGCCTGTAATGGTTGCTCGAGGTCTTCGACGCCGCACGCAGAAGCTGGTCCACGATCAACAAACCGCGAAATAACGCAGCGATTTGCAAATAATAAACATCGAAAGAGCCAAAACAGAAACACTTAGACGCACGCACCCGGATGAAGCGTGCAGCGCTGGAATCGATCGGAGAAAACCCGAGGAACTTCTATGCGGAGGTCAGATCGTATCCGGAGGGGTGATTTCGAGGTCTCTGCATTGTTTCTTTTGCACAAAAAACGTGGGCGTGGTGAGCCCGTCAGCGTGGCTACTCGGAGGCAGTATCCAGTGGGCATACGATCTTACAATTAGGGTAATTTTTTCGAAGTACCAGGGACTGTATGAGAGACCTGGAGTAGGAGACTGTCGCCGATGGGTCGTCACATTCGTTCGTCATATTTCTCAGACAGGTTCCGAACTCCGAGCAGAAGCGCCAGCAGGGCTCCTTCTCTAGAACTCTGCGATATGTCCAGTAGTATCAAGATCAAGACTGCTTTAAGCGAAGCGCTGCGGCCTAATAAGTGGAGCAAGAACTAAACATGAACAAGACCCCGGCTGGACACGAACAAGAGCAACAACTTTAACAACTATAACATTCACGGCGACGACAACATTCACGACTGAATTGCGACGGAAAGCACTGCAGCCACGATGTTGTCCGATTCCATTCCGCTGGACAAGCGGTAAGCGATGGCGCCGATGTCGCGACGTCGTGTTTTTCGTCGTACCGTCGTCTATCGGCTTCTATGTAGTTGGAACAACTGACGGAGACGGTTGCGGACATTTGTCTACTTTATCATTCTTAAAGTCAACAAAATGACGCGGAGCGAGCTCGCTGTATATGCGACGAGCCGCTCACTTGTGCGCTCGCTCACTCACTCAAAACAAAGGCGTCAATGTCTCAATTGTCGTTGCTCTGGACCGAACCGCCGACCGAAGCTTCTTCCGCAAGAGCGTAATTTTGCATTTGACCACTTCATCATGTTCCCCCTAATATTACCCTTGGCCGTGAGATCCACTCAGGGTTAGAGCTTCTTGAGAGCGCTCATAAAGACAGGGGAAACATGAATACTGCATTCTTCGGACGGATCGGGAGGAGGAATTCCGCTTCGAATCAATCGGCGAGGGAGAGCGAGAGCTCTTCGAGCTGATACACGATGAATGTATGAGTTCCCCGGGAATTTCTCGACTGTTGATAGCTTAATGGCCGGCGGCTAAGATTCGGCCAGAAGCATGTTGAGACTTTCGATCAGAGTCCCTTGGCCGAGAAACAACAGCACCTGTCTGACTGATTTTTTCCGGCTCGAGTCGATGTCTCGCGAATTGTACAAAGCTATTCGCTCTCATTGAGAATTCAATCGAAATTCCACGCGGGCCGGGAACAGAACACAACATTCTGGTCGGCTCGATTAAGGGAAGCGCGGGAAAATGAGAGGTCGGAAAATTTCGATCATTTCCCCACCTCTTATTTGAGTGTCCTAACACCTCCGAGTGTCCGCGGAGGATCTGCGAAGGAAGTGGAATCGAAACTTACGTTAATTTGCTTCAGATGATTGTTTTCGGCCAGCAGCTGCAGCAATTGCTGATGAAGAAATCCGGACCCGTTATTCGAGAAGTTTGAAGAGCAGGACGACGTGTTTAGTTGCGTCGTCGACTGTAAATCAAAAACAAAGCCATCTTTGAGATTTACGTAGTCTCGGTTTCGTAATATCTGCGGTGTAGCGAAGTCCTAAGAGATTCACCCGCTCAAGCCCTATCGTCTGGGTCGCCTTGTTTGTCGGAGACGTATGAAAAGTTTCTGTGGAGCACCGGGACTTACGACATCACAAAAACAAGGGCTATCAGAAAGCTCTATGCGCAGCTCCATGAACAAGAGCTATGAGGAATCATTCAAAAACGACCTTGTATGTTGAAACTTCAAGTGCCTCGTAATTTAATTTGTCAGTCGTCTCCTTTGGAAGACTTGAAAAGATCCTCTGACACTGTGTCTGAACACATTCGTGTTTCGCAACTCGAAGACATTCTTCCAATCTATCTTGAGAACATTCTTCTAATTCAGTGGGGAACATGTTTCAGGAAATCATCCATTGTAATGCCAAGGGATTGGTTTCAAGCTCCTATCCGAGAGCATATATTCGTTCCGGAGACTTGATTTCGCGGCTCCCAGGAAGCGGTCAATAATTGCGCTGTGACAGTTCGCTCTCAGTTCGCTGATTTTGAGTGATGGTTTGTCCTCGAAGAAGAGGGTGTTCTCTTTTGGAGTTACGCCACAAACGATTCTTTGTTTTTTATTCGAGCCGCTCTGCTTTGCGACATTTCGGGAAGGGGAATTCATGAAACTGCTCTCATTCTAAAGAAACACACAACCGCGGACGGAACCGGGCGACGCCGACGTAGGAGCTGAGGGTTTGACACAAAACCTTTGTCGACCGAGACAACAGAATAAGTTCAGGAATTCAACGAAATGAAAATAGCTTTTTTGTCTCCGGACTGAATTCCGAATCCTGCGGGAGCATCCTCAACAGACGCTATTTCAATGCTTTCGGGTCTCTAGGCTACATGAACCAATTCGAATGAACGGTCTACTTTCTCGCGGCCGGACAATCCAGACAACTCTGATTGTCGATGAGGATCTTTATTTAGGCATCAGCTGATTCCCGGATAACAGCCACTCACGGAGCTCTTCATCCACCTATCAACCCGTTCGATTCGACGTTCCATCATCATGAAGATGTTCTAGGACACAAACTTGCGTGATTCTGGATACGTGCCCAAATGAGTGAATATATGTACTTCGATACTTATAACGTTCTAACGGCGGCACTGTTATCGGACATCGTCCTGTTCCTGCGGAGTCGCTTTGGACCTTCATTTTTTTATGTGATGATCTCGCTGTCGTCTCGTCAGTTATTCATCGGAAATCTTGAAAGCCCAAAAAAGATACCCTCCCCAGAGCTCCGTATAGCGGAACTTTCTCGCTATACGCTCTATTTTCCTCTCATAATGGAAACACAAGCAACAATTCTTTCGGATCTCCAATCGAACTAACCTTCTTGTCTTCGGCCGGTGCTGAGGGAGCTGAAGTCTGGAACAGACGGAAAAGTCTCATTAGTTAGTGTCAGAATCTTCGGTATCGATGCAGATGAGAAGTTCGCAAGGAGAGGGCGCGTCGGAGTTCCGAGTTTGGACTGCTCGGACAATATTAGGTACTATTCTCTCAGCGACCAGACGAGCATCGCGTTTGCCGTGTTCGATCGTACTTCTCCGATTCTGTATTAGATTGATTCGATGGGAACGATTTCTAGCCGTTCAGCGAATCGATTATTATTCATCACTCCGATTACTCATGGGCTGATTGATGGGATTGAAAATTGACGTCGGTCATCTGCCTCGGCGATGTATTTGCGTGTGGCGATAATGACCAAGGGAATAGAGACATGATCGTTGCATAATTTGAATAAATTTATAATCTTGTACGTTTCGACGCTGTCCGCTCGAATTCCACAACGAGAGTCGAGCAAGGCCAGCGAACTCTGTGGGCTTTCGACTTCGGTCGACTTTGCTCAAGACGCAATTTTTCTCTCGACAACCACGCGCCGCGCCAATCCCGAGGACTCGAAATGCATTACTCTGGCCATAAATATTCGACTCGTCCCGGACTACATTTTCGCGTCCGGACTCAGCGATTTCGAATGCGAGCGCCGCTCATTTGAGAAGTAACTTCTGTTCGCTTCCACGAACGCAGAAATTTCCGCTGTGGGCGGGGTATCCGAAGATGAGTCGCGTTCTCCTCCACTCGTGTCAACTGATGATTCGTTGTCGCTGCTGACCATCCGCCGGAATTGTTTCAAATTCACATGCCCGTACCCTGCTGCGTGGGCATGAGCGCATCGACCTAAGGGTTCCGAAGGGATGTCGTGCAAGGACTGGATACGTAACTCGGGACAGGTCGATTCAGAGCAAATTTTGCGAGCCCGCTCCCGAGGGAGTTTTACCTCGCTGCGCCAACTCTCAGGGAAAGCCTGAAGGCTCCTTCCGAGATCCGCGCGTAGACTCCTCGAGTTACGCCCCGGGGAGCATTAGATCGAGTCTAGTTCCTCGACGCCGAATCATTATTGATCGGAGTGGCAAGCGAGTCTCATGAGTTCTCTGTGACCGATCAGGAAGAGAAGGTAGAGTTGGAAGTACCCCGAAGAAGTTCAAAGAATTCTCAAGGCGGAGTCACCTGCTCTACGGGAAAATCAGGGAGAAGAGCTCGCTATAAAGGCATTTCTCCGCACTCTCTTCCTCTCCAAGATCCAATTATGTGGAAGCAATTTTACGCGCGGAGTTCCTTCATCTTCTCGATTCCCTCTTCTTTTTCGCTTGATACGAAAGCGTCGCAGAAGAGCCGAGCCGTCCGTTCGGCAGCCACTGTGGGATAACTGGAGGATTCTCTCCGCGAAGCTTCACCGGATTCCACGTATGAGAAGACGCACCGTTTTTCAGCGGCTCAACTTGAACTTGGGCTTTCATTGGTTCGTTCCCTCGCTCGCTCATTCATCTGAGCTAGAGGAAGTTGGTGTGTTCAACTAGCATGAAATTCTGGGCCGGCGCTAAGACGTCTTAGCGCCGCGCCGGTGGCGGCGTGGGAGATTTCGCGTCGAGGCTCCCTATCTTACGTAACAAGCGCGAGCACTGAGCAACTGAAACGCCCGAACTCCTACACCGACGAACAAAGCAACGGATGCAGAAAATTTGACAGACAAACGAAGTGACCGGTCCTATGCCGAAGAGCGTCTCGGAAAGTCTTCAAATTCGAGCGGACGTGCTGCCCTCCCACCAAAAATTCAAGGTGGCTCACTGGTGTCAGAGACTCCGGTCGTGAGCCAAGCGTCCAATTATTCCGCCTTCGTAGGTTATCTCATATGTGCGGCTGGCATGAAACTCCATCGCCGGCTCATTCGGATTTCGGTATCACTTCTCCACTCTACGAAGATGCGCGAGGGAACATAAATATTCGGAATCGTCTCAAGGTTCGGACTGGAAATCCTCCTCCCTCAGAGGGGAGCGGTCGGTGAGAATCAGATTATGGAATGGCCGTTATGAAAAAAGCAATTTCCAGCGGGGGTTCCGTCTGTTCCAATATTGCCTTCAGGTTTCCCCATCCGCCTTTGTTTTGATCGAGTGATTTATATATATGGTGAGCGAGTCCAACGTATTCTCTGTTCCCCGATTTAATCAGCAAGACCATAAATCGATCAGTTCACCGAATCACTTGTTAATCGAGAATTGTGGCTGACGTGCGACAGGCGCTGCCAGCTGGTTGCCGTTTTCCCCGGCAAGAAGAGAGGTGATGGCGCACTTTTTCCCCTTCCAGTCTTCAGTTTTTTTTCGAAGATCGCCTCAAAATCTATTATTTGCGCGACACGTCGCCGCTGAACGCACCGCTTGCTTTGGAGGGTGCCCTTATATATTCTCTAGACTAAACGGAACGTTTTTATATGTTTTCCTGCTCCTCCAGTTTTTTTTCTCCTGTTTGAGTTTGCCCGGGTGAATCACCGGTTTGCTTCTCCGACGGGTGAGGAACCGATCCCACCGATCTTGTGATTCGGTGTGCACAATGACTTTTCCCCCACAGAGACAGCGGAAAGAATGCGAAGGGAGGCGTTTTTCTGGAACATTCCGCTCCACTTGAAGCGCATTTACTCTGAGACTCTTCGGAATACCATCGATGTGACTTCATTCACGGCCGGAGAAGACAAAGTCGTTCTTCCAAGAACCGGAGCTCTCACCCGTCGTTGAGCGAGACTATGGCTCTTGATGATGTGTTTGTCTGCGAAAATTGAGAAAAAGCGGCGTACTTTCAGACCGGTGGATCGGCGTACCTGGATCCAATGAACGACTGATAGGTGGGCCGGCAGATCGATCATCGAAGATTGTCGAGGAGCCTTCGTCGCACAGCTCATGTGCAGGTCAGATCTGCCGAGCTCCGAGGGCCTGATGATCTGCTTTGGGCTGAGCCGACATTCTCCTCGTTTTGTTTTTAATTTGCAGGAGGATAGGGCCGTGCACCTGCGCTATCGTCGTTCCTTGCCTCTTCTGTCTTTTGTTTTGTTGTTTTAAGTTGCTCACTAGAGCTTCATTTACCACCCGGGAGCACAGTCGTCGGCTCGCGAGCAAGGCCCGAGCAAGCCCCAGAGTCAAGCAGAGCTGAAAAAATAGCTCGAGATACGCGACGACGACTTCGGCACCGGCCAACAGACGAACGCGCCAACAGAAGATGCTTTCGACGATGGCGGTTAATTTTGAAAATTTGTCCAAGTGAGCCCGCACGACCACCCGGTCGGTCATCCAATGCTCGACGTCATCGACGGACGGGCTGCCTGCCTGAGAGACGACGCCGACGCTGAGGGCTCAGCAAACAGTACAAGTACCGATTCCGATTGGTCTCGATGATGCGATCATCATCATTGACATCGTTCTATCATCTTCTATTCTGGTGTTCTATTTCGGGTGTTCGCCTTATTCCGGTAATCTTCGCTGAACGATCTACGGGAACGGTGCACTTCGTCGCTCTATCGGGGGTGGAGGATGATCCCGCGCCTGACATCGGCGGCCCCTCGAAAATCGACCCGCTCGACGGTCGGTCGGCTGTCTAAATACCGGCGTAGATAATACGACTCTGGATTTCTTAGCGAGGAGTGAAAAATTCGCAAGATTCAAGATATGTTCTTCGACAGTCGATGAAGATTTACGAGGCCTGAATGACGATGAAAGATCGAGCGGGGCTTCTCATTTGAGCTACGCAAGATTGGCAGATTGATTGCCGCTCAGATATGTACCGTACGCAGGTAAGGATTGATCGAAACATAGGTTTCCATGGAGGTGAGCCGATGCCTTGCTGTTCCCCTGGCGGTTGCATCGATCGGAACTCGCTCTCTAGAACATTGTTCTACGAAACAAGGACATAGAACTTATCGCGAGCTTTAGATCGGCCCACGCCCTCTTCTGTTATGGCTCAATAACGAGAACGATTCTGCTTCTCAAAAATAACCGCAGTCCGCAGCTTTAGGGGCATTCTCCATCATTTGATTCGTGATTTCCATCATTAAGATCTTTGCGGATTGTGCAACGGCAATTTTCGCGATTTGAATAGAAAAAGAAACTTCTGTGAATGAACGCGATCTTGTTCGTGGGTGCGATATATCCCGTAGCGGAGTGACGTCATCAAAGGTCACTCATCAGATCCGAATCTCTTCTAGGGCATTTTTGCGCGAGACTCTTTCCCTTCACACATTCAAGAAGCTGGGCTCTCGGATGGTGGACCCTGTCCAAAGCTCAGATTCATTGGCCTCTGATTGAATCGGTCACTTTCTGCTCCGACACACTTGACTTTCAGATTTCGTCGCTTAAGATTTCCTACGTTTTTCGGTGCCGACTCAATGCGGGACGATGAACCAGTGCAGTTTGAGTAGCTGGTGAGGGTCGGTGGTTTTCGAAAAGCGTCGTGTCCACTCGGTGTGGACGCTACCGTGGGAAGCGACCGCTCCAACTCCACAACTTCAACGATGCGGCGGCAGAAGTTTTCGTATAGAAGACGAAACGAAAGGGAAGAAGGCTCGGACGCTAACGAGCGTCCGTCTATTCGCAGTGGACACACCGACGGACTCCGTTTACGATTTCGTACTTTATCGTAAAGGGAGCGTCGATGGCCGCAGGTGCCGTCCGCAGCGACTACCTGCACCAGGTCTGCTCAGGGTCGGCTCGGGTCGATGGTTGGCGGGCTCCACAAACTCTTCATGTAAGTGAGCGGAAAATTTGAAAAAAAGGAAGGAAAAAGTAACTGTCTCGCGATGGAGAAAGCACCGCAGCTGCTGGGTAGGGCATCCATCGACTTGTTGGCTCGTTTGTTCCTCATCCTTCTTCGTCTCCGTCGAATGAAGCTTGATCCAAGCCAGCCCACAACTTGAGTCGATTGTTGCAAGGAGTGGTGGGATATTTTCTTGGCTATTTGACGCTCAGCGACAAATCTTTCCCGCTATAGCTCCGACTCATGATCAATCCATCAAACCGGAGGAAATCGCGATACTATTGTCTCGTTTGGGTCACTCTATCTGAGGGGAAGTTTCGTCCCGGACTGATTCCCCCCTGATCTCCCCCGGGAATCAGGGAATCTCTCCGCTAATCTCGAGATCCGAGAATTCCACTGAAGGGTAAGCTCCGGTGAGTATCATCAGACGAAATCTTCTTCGCGTTCTTATCTTTGGAGCGGATTCTAGCTTCTCGAAGAGTCTCAAGTCCCAAACTCGCGACGAATGTTCAGTTTGGCCCGAAAACGTCAAAGAGTCGAGAACAGTGCGCCCATTGAGACTACCAGAACACTTGTCTGACCGCTGACCGGGCCGGCTTCCCATAATACCAAAAGACAACAACAACGCCGATAGCGGCGACAAAAGCCACCACCAGCGCTCGAAGAGACAGACAATGATCTCAATAGTGCCCACAGACAGAACAGGGTCGGCCACTGGAAAGTCGCTGCTATCAAAATCTGCATCGTCGCGTCGTCGGCTCGAAAACGACGTCAAATCTCGACGAACGAGCCAGGATCACAGGATCCGTTTCTCGCCGCGTGTGGCATCCAGACCACCACGGCTACCGGTACTACTGGAATCGATAGAGGCAGCACCAGCTGCTCTAGCGCAATTCTGATGATCGGAAAAATACTCTCAACCCTTCAAAAAGCCACAGAAGCCGCAGAAGACGAGCGAGCCATGTGGAAGCAGAGGTCGAAAAAGTTCCTGCCTCTAATACTACGAGCGATGTAATCTTCGGCAGAGCCTGCGGATGCACCTCCTGTGGAGTCTGATGTATTCCAGATAGCATCCGAATGAATCAATCGAGCCACCGAGCATTCATTGGACATCGATCGATTGATCGGTCGCCTGATCGTTTGCTTCTAATTCTGGAAACTGGGCGCGTACGTCTCCGAACAGCATCCACCCGAGCGTGGAAACAGCCAACGTAGGTAACCAACAATGAGCTACGACCACGGAATCAGCGGGGTCTCCACCCTTGCGTGCAGGCTTCTCCAGTTCCCTGGACAACCCTGGGCCCTTCCAACAGGGACATTGGAGTGGACGTCGATTCGACGGCCCGAAGAAGCGTGATAGAGCGGGTCAATTCTCCCCCGTCCCGAATTAAAATTACCTGCGGAATATCAGCGCTGAATAGCATCAGCTAGCTTTTCGGGAGTGCAGCATTTGTGTCGGGAAGAGTCGGAATTCGCGGTAGGAAGAGAGCAGTGGAAAACAGCATCAGCGAGGGGGGACAAAAAAATATGTGGAAAGTCAATTTTCGCGATGAGAAAAAATGAATTCAAACCCTCGGAATGGCATGGGACTCTCAAGATTTCGTTCGGAAAAAATCGCTCAAAAAATTCGGGAATCTTCGTTTCCACCCGATGTCAACGCCGGCTAGCCGAGATTTTGTTTCTTAACGGCACAATTCGACAATCAGCTCGGGCGATTTCTTCACTCATAACGAATATTCCGCGCATCATATTCGGCGATTTTCGTTTCCGCAGAATACTCGACCCATTCATATGGAGCATAATCAAAGGCCTTGTCATAGGGCACGGATGGCGAGAATCGGGGTGGGAGGGTGAAGGTGCCTTCTCGGGCTAACTGCGCGCTTTCGGTGAGGTGAACGAGTCAGCTCCCTTCATTCGGGCACAATCGCAACACGAGAGCCCGAATCCTCGCTGAGGAGAGTCAGCCACACACGACGTCACGGAACGCACCGTGGCATCACGACAAGAACATCTCGATCTAATAAGCGGCCGGCCTCAAGGGTCACTCAGCGCCTGAACTTATTCGAGTTGAGCTGCAATACCATGATCGGTATGATCGGCTCGCTCCTGACGTACCCAATTTCGCCGCTTCTGCAGCACCTGGCAAGCGAGCCGGTGGTCTGACATGATTACCTCTTCGATTTCCTCGCTTCTCAGTTCTTTTTTCTTACCTAAGCCCGATTCTCGAGGATGTTCCATTTTCAGAGTATCCCGATGACATCATCGCGAGAAGCTTCGTGCCTCTCGCGAGGGAAGCTCGAATGCTCGATACCGTAAGAGGGTCCCGGATTTTTTCGCAATCGCGTTGACGGCAATAGAGCAGATGAGCCCTATCTACCCAGCGGATCTATGGTGTCGCAGAAAAAGCACGGAAGATGCGCTGATTCAAATTGAGTAATGACCGACGAACAATATGGAAACAATAGACCTTCGCGGACGACTCTTATCGCTCGGAGAAGAAACCACCGTGGTGGTCTGAACTCGTTTCCGTTGCTTTAGTGACAACGACGCAGAGAATCTAACCGCGAAACGATAATGATGACTGAAACTTGAAGATGAAAACATTACGGACTTGTTACAGACAGCTACGAGAGGGGGTTCTATAAGAAATCCAAGCCGATTCGCCAGGCGAGGGAGGACCTCCGCGTTAGGTAGATCCGCCCCACGCATTCAGATGGTGACGGCGGCCCCACGCACCTGATGGAGGAGGGCAGACAACGTAATTGACGTCTACAAGAACGATCTATGAGATCGCGCGGCCACAGGTATTCTCAGTCGATCCCACTTTATCATTACCGTACAATGCTGGCTTATTTTTGACTTCGAGCAAAACCTGGGTAGCTCGAAGGACCGGGCAAAAAAATGGACTCCAACGAGATACGGTCGGGGAAACGACTCAATGCGTCCTGACAAACCGCTGGGATAATCATATCTTTTACGTGACAGCTACATACATACATGGACAGACTCCGGGTCGGCTGTGGCGACGGCGAAGCGATAGGATGAGGAGAAAAAACGATGAAAAACGACAGAAATTCAAAAGGAAAAGAGGCTTTCCATTTTGAAAGTGTCTTGACCAACGGTTCGCAATGCGTAAGGAGAACATCGCTGGTGAAGATATCTGTGTTGGTCTGTTTCTTCGTTCCGCAATTCAAGAATAAACTTTGCGTTTGTGAGCGCTTAGGTCGATGCTTGGAAAAGCTCTGGGACGATTTCTTGTATTTCCCTCCGAAATAGACGAGAGACGGATCGGGGGAGGAGGACTTCTCCTCCTAGCCGTTCTTGAGAATCCGGGAACTCGTAGTTCGCGGAAAATTGATTCCGAAGAGACCATCCCAACTCCAAGCCAGCCGTTCTTTGGAAGAGCAGCTCCGGCGGACCTCTGGAGCGAACGATAACTCGGGCAAGATATCTTTTGGAAGAGTTATCAATCCTCGGCATCAGCTGAAGAGGTTACCCCCCATTCCCTACCCGCCACCCCCCTCTGAGGTGATTCCGCTCCAGCCCGCTCTGGAGGAAGCGGTCTTCTTTGCACTCACGTCCTTCGTCGCGCGACGGCCAAAATCGTGATCGAGGGTTCGAAGTTGTCCATGCCTAATGTAGGCTATTCCGATCGGCTCATACATTCTCCGCTGATTTGACGAACACGACATCGTCATTCACTCAATCGTCTGTCTCTTTTTACATCGACGTAGACCCGGCTTCGAGACGGGGATCAATAAAGGGAGGTAGAAGCGAAAAAAAAAGAGAAAGAACTGCATTTGGTCTTTCTGGCATGCTTGATAACCCGGACTAGCCGAGACGACGACCACCGGGCGAGTTTTTGCGTAGAGATAGGTTTTTGTTGCGCTGACAGATTTTCTCGAGCGTCTGTAGCCGGAGAAATTCGAGTGCATTTCATTTGAGCTATCGAAAGCGGCACGTCCTGTCAGAATTTCCACGAATATGCATCAAGCGTCGGAATTGTTTCCCCCTCGGACCCCGCATCGATACGATCCCATTCAGAAACAAAAGCCGCGAGGGACGGAAGGCAAAATCACCCACCTGTTCTTTGACGCGTTCGGGTCTTTTGACGTCGCCTTGCGAACCTTTGCGATATTTTCCTTTCGATTCTTTCGAGACGGGAGCAGCGATGAAGTTGGTTTGGCTCAGATATTTCTTAACTCCGGTGCGACGGGTTATCCTCGGGTCTGAAAATGAAAGACGTTAGGTTCTGGACGATAGTTCATCCCCATGATCTCTGGACTGACATAATTAACTAATTGATTCGCTTCTGCCGTCGCCTTCATCGACATCCCAATCGACGTTGTTGACATCATTACCGTCATCGTCTCGTTTCTGAAGCATCACGTCCCAGTCGTTGCTTTAGTTAACCGATGAGGAGACTCTGGAGCGACTCGCGCCGCCGCCGGGACTGAATGTAGTCCTGGATGCAGATAGGGACGAGCCTCCAACATAAATGGGAGGGCAGAAACACAGGAATTCGGAGCAATCGTAATAATATACGGATACCGTTTACGGTTTTTGCATCCTCGACGCGTATCATCGTATCAAACTTCGGAGCGAAGTCTTTCGATACCATCCCCGCTGTGCCGACCGCTACCGTGGTCGTCGGTCGTCGTCGTGTCCATCTCCGAAGACATCGTCAACAAATTGGCTTCGCTCGGAGTCGAGCAGCCATTACCTCTGGGATTAATGAGCTCCGAATTAAACGCAATGATTCCATTCTTGATGTACCTCTCTGACAAAGAGGCGAGCTGAATCCGAGCGAACCGTTTGAACGAGTCCGGTCGCGCGGCATTCATACGAAAAGGGTGCTTGACACCTCAATAATGATCGTTCGACGTTCGTTTTTCGTAATTGACTTGACGTCTGCGTTTTATCTAGCCAGATTTATTGTATGTATTTGTGCTTAATCTCAGAGTCTGAAGAACTATGTTGGCTCAACCGAACCGACATGAAAGAGCGGAGATGTACAACGAATTGGTTTCCTGTTTGTCAGGTTGAAAAAGAGCAACCGTGCTTCGGACTTCGAAGATATTCGCGCATTACCGTGTGGGAATCATAACAATAGCCACGCATCCTGTCCACTTTTCCCACCACCCACAGTTGTTCTCATGATCTCGCTCACAGTCACACAGACCGATGGATGGATGGACAAACGGACAGGCGGATCGAGGTAAGCTTCAAGTAGCTCGGTGAGAACTAGAGGAAGTGAGGGGCCTCCTCATCTGAGGAGGTGGTGGTCTTAGCCGATCGCTCGGCTTCGCTTTGAGTGAGCAGGTTCGGTGCCTCAATTTCAGGCGCTCAGATCAAGGCGTACGTCTGGTCAAGAAGACATTAGCTGCTGCCACCGCCGCCGCCCATCTGGGGAGGAGGGGGGTTTAAGAACTGACAGGAAACTTCAGCAGTGTAGCGACCGAAACAAGCGAGCCGGCCACCTGATGGTCTCTTGTCGTGATTGGGGCCTCGATTAGCTGATTGCCGACCAGATACGAACATCGACTTTGTTGTTGCGACTCGCAACAACGTCAACAACGGCTACACCGAGAACCACGCTCGAAGAGCAAAGAACCATGCATGCGAAATCAAAACGGAGCGACGAAACAAGGGTGAATGGTACGGCACGATTGCAAGAAGTTGCCACGATGTCAAAACCCGCGGTGGTGCTCATCTCGACGCTTTCTTTCGGATAGAACAAAGTGGAGGAAGACGATGACCACAACTGTGAAGGGCTTGGTGTGATGCCGCCGCTTTTATCGAGCTAGCTATATATGACCGCATCAAGTGACTTGAGTCTTTTTCGTATTCATGATTTCAAACCATGACCTCGAGTGCTTGTCTCGATACCACCACGAGACGTAGGTACGTGGGGAAAACTCGAGAAGGAACGCATAAGGATCGAATGGGACGGTGAATGAGAGCGCGCCGGGGGATAACGAAACGACGAGCGTAGAGACGACGGACCATCCAAGCGGGTAGCGCTGTCGAAAGTTTCGGAAGAGCTGTGGATGACTTCACAGTATGTTTTTCTCTTTCGGAACAAAAAGCAATTCCCAGACATGCTCGTGTAAACCATTGTGGTATTGCGTAGCGGGTGACTCGAGCACCGAATCCGATTCCCGAAAACATTCGAAGTCCGTGAAAAGTCATGTACCACCATACCGACCATGGACTAAGGATCGAATGATCGAGTCATCGAGACGGCGAAGGAAGAGGCCCGGAACCTCAGGGATCTCAGGAGGTTGAGGCAGTCGGACTCTCTTCCTCGGTGGTGAACTCCGGAAATAGCTCGAGTACTGCCGGAAAGTATACCGTTGGATGCGGACGCCCCTCGCTCAGTTAGTGTTGCCGAAGGACGAGAATATTCTCTCAGACCCAACATACACCACGAATGACTTATCTCGGGTCGGCATCTCTCGATATAGGATTCTTTCTTATGGACGTGCGGCAAGGAAGCGATCGAGGGGGAACGTCAGCAGAAAAAAAATCGACGGAAAGAAAGGGAGGGAGGGACGGACAGGCGGAGTATCCGGCCCAAATAATCTACGCGAAACACTTAGTTTAAATGGCGATGCATCATCGACGGCCCACGCACACGAAGCGCGGTAATTGTTAACAAGTTATCTCTGAGTCAATACCGCCTTCGACAAAAAGGGACCGCCGGCGGATCGCTGTTCTTGTGGTGTCTGCCGCTGTCGATGGTCTTGTTGCCATGCTGAGCAATTTACCGGTTGCAACGCTGCGAAACTTCGACGCCCGACCGTTATGGCCTTATACTTTTCTGGTACTTATCGTTTAATTCTCTCTCTGTCCGAAAGAGACTGTAATCGCGGCTATGATGGATGCCCGTGATCGGTAAGACCCATTACGGAACGAGACTTCTATTCGTCATCGAATCCCTAGTCAGCCCCAGATCCGAAACCGAATGGGAGCATCCTAGACTAAAGAAAAGGGGGGGGGAGTCCGCGTGAACGAGCGGGGATCTCGCGAAAGCTCTGAATGCGATGCGCCTCTAGAAGCTCAGAGCCGGAATAGTCCTCTGAAAGGGGATCTGGGGCGGACGATGGCCGACGATATTCGTCCTCGCGCCGCGGTCGATTTTTCCCTCAGCAATGCCAATTATTAGATGTTCAGCTTTTAATTTTAGCTGCGTCCGAAAGCGGTCTCATAGCGCATTGTTTCTGTGCTTGTGTCGTTTGGAGAAGGGAGCGTATATGAGTTATGTCCCTTTGTGGATGCCACTCCCAGACGATGCTTCCTTCGAGCCAAGCCTTTCTCGACCTGCCTCAGGCTTCGAAAAGAAGAGGCTTTCTTCGTTGCCGGCTCGCTCGCTTTCTGTAAGTCGAATTGAAGTACGTACGTCGGCCGATCGATCCGTCAGTCGTGTGGACTGAACGGAGTCCGGCGCAACCCTCAACCCCTTTCATCGAGGGAAGCAGCGAAGAAGCGGAGAGTTCTTTATTGTGTAGCAGGATCACGCTCTAGGAGATAAACGTCTGAGGAGGCGGACTCAGTCAGATAGAAGCCTGAGAGACCGTGGAGTGAAATGCGCGAGCACGGAGAGCGAGCGACATCAAAGATTTATTGTGGACGCAGCCTTCAATACTGATCGCTCTTTAAACGCAACGGATTACGTGCTTCTCCCGCTCTGTGGTTTCCATTGTTTTCCACGTCGTGACTTAGAGTTGCTTTCCGACGGAAGAAAACGGGGACAGAATTCCAGAAAAAGAGCTTTGCTCCCGACGGAAAACCGGATTGCGCGTCTGATCGTACGCCTCTCCGTAAGGATTTGGTCTTCCTGTGCCTTGATCAAACAACGAATATTAACCCGCTCAGGATTCGAAAAAGAAAACATTAAGCGGCACTCGACAAATCCTGAGCGGTTGTGCAGCGCGTTGTTTGCTCTACCATTTTTTCATCTTCGCCTTCCTCTCTTCCCGCGTTTTCTCGGCGTGCGGAGGTCAGAAGTTTACAGAAAAGACGAAAATTAAACAAATTCAAAAGTGGTCTTAGCCGAAACGGAACGGAGAGCGATTCAAAGTTCACTGGCATTCAGTCCGCTCGCTTGTTGCTCAGCTCGCTGGCTCGCTCGGCTCACCGGTTATTTGCTAGATGTGGAGAAGGGGGACTTTCTCCCCATTTCGGACGCCGACGCCGGTCTACGCTCGTATAGCAACGACTTCGGTCATTCAGCAACGATTTCTTGTTGACGAACTCAAGGCCTCAAGGATATGAATGACATCTCCTCGAGTTTTTCTGGCGTCCTTCTGCGTCCCGAGCTCTTCTTATCTGTTCTTCTTATTCAGAGAGTAAGCTTCTTAAGCTCCGAAAAAAGGCACTTCATAATCATTGGAAGCAAGAAGAGCCGTCCAGCCGGTCAAGCTTCACGAGCGGAGTCTCGCAGACAAAACAAATGTCCACACAAACAGACGGTCAGCCAGTCAGATCGAGCGACGGGTCGACTGAGTGAATGAATGAGCGGAATGCCCGAATATCAACAGGTACAGACGTAAATGTTTCCAGTTTTTCTTCTATACTTAATTCTCCTTGTTCACGGATGACTGAACGGAAGAGGGAACATTTTTCAACAATGCCACCGCGACCGCAGGTAAGAAAACCGACCGCCGTTGAGGCATGGCTAGACGCCAAAGTTCCGATCCGTAGCTACGCTCTACGAAAACGACCATGACGACAAGCACGATGGCCAACGGCTCCAGAAATTCGAGCTACAGAGTCAACAGCACGGCGCTCTGGCTACGGTCCCGGTGGTGCTAGAGCCCATGCTTGGCTGAGCTCCGCGACTCGCGTCCGAGTCACGGTATTCTCAATGGCTGGCAGCTCAAGATGCTCAGGCGGAGAACGAAGGAGACGAAATGAAGCAGGAGGCAGGCAGGCAGGCAGTCAGTCTGGTGTCAAGCGACAGTGGACGTGGTCAACGTTGCGTGCGATGTGCCACCCGTTCAACGCGCGTTCTGAAAATCTTCTGAAAACGTCTCCGGGAGCCGAGGGGAAAACACGATGTCGGATTGTGATGGAGCAGGTGAAATTGACGGTGGTATTCATTTCCTCACTCATTCACTCTGACAGAATGCAGAATTGATACAAATAATAGTTCCCGCGGATTGTGTTCCCTTTGCTCGTGACTGTCACGAATGAACGAGCCGAGAAAAAATACCCGAAAGCTCACTCATTTTTTCCGCTCAAATGATGGAAAACCGTTCCGTCGGTTCATTTCCGAGAGCTCCGACGACACCGTTACTCAATGTCTCCACTTTTTCACGGGTAGATAATTTTTCTTTTTCGACGCTTCTATTTTGCGCGAGTATGAGTCGTTGAACTTGAGGTCTCTCCCATCTATCTTGGACACTATCTCCTTCTGTGAGTTATTACGAGAGCCTCGGGATTATTCGAAGCACTCCCGAAACTCGACTGCGATGGTTTAGCGACGGGGAACGATTACGGGAACTGTACAGATCCCGGGGACCTTTGTTTGCATCCGAGGGGAATTCTGCGGAATCCCATGAGGCCACAGATGATCCGCGAACGATGAATGCGAAAAAACTCCCGCGGGCTTCCATCTCGGCGAAAGGTTCTCAACTCATTCCAGTACTGAGCGGACATGAGAGGAAACGACCCGAGCAGAAGAGTCTGACACAGAAGCAGAAGCGTCTACGGGAGCCGTGACGGCAGCAAAAATGGAAACGAAGGAGAAAACGAGCGTTTCGTCAAAAATTTTCAGAGTTGCATCACGGGACAAGGCAAATCGTCCACAGAAATGGATTTTCTGTGGTGGCAACGGTCGCGCTGGTGGTGTTAGTATTATCGAGCCGCAACGACGGCGCCGCTCTTTTGTGACCAAGTTTCCGAGCACAAATGGACGACGAGAGAGAAAAGTAGAAGAACACCAAAGAAAACATGCACGGCTCCGGCGACTGAGCTGACCGTGAGCGACGATTGGAAGCGGGACCGTCAAACCGAAACAGAAACGAAAAGTTCGCACCGGACACGACATCCCGCACGAAAAAAACTAGCCAGTGACCGCAACACGGCGACAATTCGCAATAATTAACAATCGACAGTCAATCTTCAGCGAGCAGCGGTTCCAGGCCGCTTCTTTCATCGGTGGTCGAGGTCTGCCTTTCGGAGCAATTCGGAAACAAAAGTCCGACTCGGAAAACGCCCTTGTTGCCCGAAAGAACGAATTTTCGACTGCTGGAAGGATGAGTCGCTTCATTCGTTCAATTCAAGCGGCAACTTGTTCAAAACGCTAAAGTCGTTCCAATAGCAGACCGAAGTCATTCCGAAGGCTTTCGGATTGCTGCCGAAGTCGAGTAGCTCCAGTCGGAGCACGAGCAATGTTCCGCTGACGAACACGAAACGCGACAGCTCGCTTCTTTTTTTCTATCTCTTCTCATGGCGTAAGTCAATCTTAGGCGTTTCGTCAAAATTGAAAACATGGATTGATCACCGTGGCATGCGAATCGTCTACATCATTGATTCGCTAAGCTAGCTATCAAGCTAGCTAGCTAGCGAGAAAACTCCATCCATCGGTCAATTTTGCCCGACGCTCACTCTCAAGTCTTCTTCACTGGCGAAAAATCGAAGTTTGTCTTTCTTTGGAGACTCGAGCTTCTGCTTCGGGTCTGATCTTTCGACGACGAGCTTCCGAGCCTAATTCCTCGGATCACGCGAAGCTTTCGTCGAGAATTATTCGACAGGATCATCCGACATGACCATATACTTCAAGCAGGAGCAGTATCTCGATTCGTGCACGGAAGGGTGAGATAAATGCTTCTAATAGGTGGATTTACGGCTTTGTCGTCGAATTCCGGAAGACGTTCACCGCAGTACGAGTATTTAATCTGTGGTGGGAAATCACCGTCGCTCGACAAATACAAGCGATAAAGTCGAAAATGAACCGCCATAAAGTGAAGTTCCATAAAAGGGAACATACGCGAGCGGGCTGTTTCGTGTGAGGATACTATGAGAGCCCGCGTAACTGAGCGTAGACGTGGCTCAGCCAGTCTGGTAAACGTTTTGCTGTCGCGTCGATGAAATTTCGAGATTCGTTCTTCTCGATCGACACGAAGAGGGGTATCACCACCGATAGAGCTCTCCGATATTCGAAAACAGAGCTTAATCCGGGACTCACCAGGTGCCTTGCGTCGAGTTGTGCGTCCAGACTTGGAACTGCTGACGGATCCGCAGCTCCTCCGGCGTCGCCTTTTCTCCATGGAGCCGCTCCCACTGCACTCGCTGATGCTTCCTTCCTTAACTCCGACCTCTTTGATGTATTGAATGCCGTTGATGTACTCCGGCTCAGGGAAACGGTCTCGGTTTCTGGGAGCGGGTAGCGGTTCGCTCACAGGCTCCGGCGGACAAGGAGGCGGTTTGTACTTGATCGCCACCACCTGGGGGGTATCCGCAGGGTCTGCGGTTTCGGTAATCTTTGGAACGGCAGCTAGGTTTTCACAGTTTCCGAAGCTCGAATGAGACTCGTTGTCGGTCGCCGAACTCCCGGAGGAGATTCCCGACTCGTAATCGCGTTCTACCGGCGACTTGGTTTCGGTCTTAGGTTCTGCCTCGGCGGAAACCGCCTCGAGAACCGTCTGGACCTCCGCTTTCGTAATCGTTGGTGTCTGAACGTTGTTGTTGAGCCTTCGGAAGTTCGTCTTGATGTATTTTCGGAGAGCGCGAGGCGGCATGACGTAATGTTTCTCGAATTCGTTACTCGTGTGGAAAACGATCTGCCGTTGGTATTCCTCGTTGGTCTGAGGGTCCCTGTAGTTCTGAGGAGAGGTCACCAAAGCGTGCTGCAGGTCGGATTGGCTGGCGCTCGACTTGGTCGAAAGTTTCCGACTCTGTTCCAGCTCGTTGATGGACGTCAACGATGCCGACTTTTTGAGAATCCCTGGCAGAGTTCGTTCGTCTGTGGCTTCGACGCTGGACGTCATTCGCGGCAGTGTTTGGCCCCTCTGTTCCAAGCTCGGCGTCGATTGATCGGTCAGAGTCTTTGGATTGTTTTTCTTGAAGCGGGGTAGACTGAATGACCACAATCGTCGACTCGCTTTCGCTTTGTCCGACTCAGCGATCGGCGACGATGACGACGACGAAGAAGACGACATGTCGTCTTGGAAGGAGCGCGCACCCTGGGAGAGACTTCTGGACAGCGACTTTGAGTCGGGCGTCGATCGAGGAGTATCGGAAGTCGCGCAGCTGTCGGGACTGTAGCTTCTGACACTGTCATCGAAACTGACGAATTTCTCCTGGACTCTCGCGGGAAGAATCTGCGAATTCGCCATCGGATGTTGGATCTTCGGACTTCGGGTGACGCCGTTCTGGGAAGCGCCGGATGTCGCTCGGATCGAAGGAGTCGAGGGCAGCATCGGTACAGCGGTGGCCGTCGTCATCTTCTCGCTGGGCTCGGAGGCTAGAAGATGGAGACTTTTATTCTCCGTCACAGGCTGCTGCGCGCGGATCTCGCTGAAGCGGGTTTGAGCTGCGACTGGATGACTCGGCGGTACGGCTGCAGGCGGAAGAGGACGGGAAGGTTGCGGGGGAGGCCGTCGCGAAGGCAGCGGCACGATGCGAGGCACGTCACGCGTAGGCGGAGGCATTTCTGGCCTCGAGGGAATCCTCGGGGGCTCCCTCAGCTGGAGGTTGTTGTAAATCAACGGGCAGGTCTGCCCGTCGGCGCCTCGAATCAGACGTATATCAGCGTGTCTGGGGAATGAGAAAGAAAGGAATTATAATAAATTGAGTCGACAGACGATACTCGAAACCGCTGATCGACGATTCGGCTGGCCAGAGGATCAACTCATCCCTGTGAATGACAATTTTCTTCGCCGAGCTGATTATAATAATCAGTTTGACGCAGTTCGATCTGCCCCCGACGCGAGCGGCTTTCCACGCTCTAGTTTTTAAAAGAATCAGGGTGAATTCAAAATTCCGCGAAGTAGATAGAATGGATCTGTTTCGCCTCCCGGGATCGCCCTAATTCGTTTTATGTTTATTATTGAATTATCATCCCGATTGATTGGAGTTTGTCGAATTAATAGGGGCTGGGAGGAATGATTCAATACCATCTTTCGATTTCTACCAAGCGGAACCGCGAAAGAGAAGACGAATTCTCGCTGCTGACAGGCGTCAGATCTATCGCTTTGATGTCCGAGGAGGCGGGTCGGATCACGACTCCGTGTCCAATTAAAGCTTTCCAGAACTTCTGACTGTGCCCAGATTCTGCGGGGACCGGCTTACGCGATCCCGAATCAGACTTCGGCGAGATCCGGGTTTCCGGAGAAGAGATTCTCGGAAACCTGGAAATCTCGTGTGATCCACTTCATCGGACTCTGGTCCGCCGAATTCAACAGCCGAGCTGTCACCCGCGTCGGCGTCGTGCGAATAACGCGTTCTCGACAGCAGGATCGAAATCTGAAGCGAATTCTGAAGGGAACACAATGGACGTTGGAGCCGCCGTCATCGAATGAGAAATTCTGTCACACGGCAGACGGACACGATAATGAACAAGAACACCGTGATCATGATGGTGATGATCTGCAACCTTTGTCCGCGCGAGGTGGGTGGCGATCGCTTCGTGTCTACCCGTCGCGAGCTGCCCGGCGAGGTAGTAAGGTCCGCTCGTCGACGTCTGCTCCGCGTCGGAAAGTCGACGGACCCCAGCGAGCCATCGAGCGACTGTCAGCAGTGTATTACCGATCGTTAATCACTAATTGCGAACGATGGAGAATAGTCGAACTCCTTGTCGGTCGCGATGGTTCCATCTCGCAAGGAACAAAGACATCATTTAGACTGAGTCATCGAGAACATGGCCCACTGAACGCTTTAGCGTACTGGCCGGACGAGTCGCGAACGTCGTTCGGTACGTTAACCGCGGAGGGAGATTGTTTGACCATTACTGAATGATTGCTCTCACCGTCATCATAGAGCACCATGACAGATGATTAACTAGCTCTGGTCGATGGAAGTCCCGTGTACCGACCCAATTGTCGATCTCTGTTTCTCTTACTTTTAGAGTGAATGGGGAGCATTCCGACCTCCCTCTTGGGTTCAAGGAGCAGGTTCACATCATGTGTACGGATATCCTTCATTGGGAAGGAGGCTTGGAGGTATGGAGCGAAAGCCTGGCAGAACGGCGTCCTACCTGACTGTCCTCCGAGTAGGAAAGCTCAATCCGAATGACCAATTCCTCTAAATGCAGTGCGTCAAGGAATTTTTCTAGGTCGTCCTAATTCTCCAAGCCTGGAGATCAAATCATTTTTCCCCAAGCAGTCGAGAATCGAGTTCATGGCACCCCAGGGAATGGAATTCGGACGAGTAAAAAATTGTGAAAAATGAGGGAAAAATTCAAATCGCGCACATTCCGATGCCACGGCCTGCACGCGAGAGAAAAATTCTCCATTCCACTGCATCATCACAACACGGCAGAGGAAAGCGCTGCTGTCTGCGATTCTGGGAGTGCTTGATTTATCTCATTCTCTTCTGCGAAGGAAGATGCTTCGCTAAGCCGAGCCGGAGCGAACTATCCCGGGGAAGAGTATGGAGTCGTCAAGTCTCCCTCCTCTTGGGTCTACTAGTCAACGCGCCTACGTAGCTCGGGGGTAGGTTGATCCGAGCGAATCCGCGTGCAACCGAACAGAGGAACAAGCGAACTTTTATCAGTTTTGTTGATAGTACAATAATTCTCGTGTCGGCGTAACAACTGACTTCGACTCGACGCAGTCCGTATTCGAATCGGCGCTCGCCAAAAACCGCGAACGTCTGACTAATCGCATTATCGTCGTCACTGTCGTAGTCTTTGTTGTCGTCGTCATCACAACCACCGGCGCCGTCATCACCACCACCGGCATCGTGAGCATCATTGTGATCGGGGAAGAATGGAGTTAATCTCCTTCTGTTGCTTCTTACCTTTCATCGTAGAGACTCTTGTAGGAATTTCCAAGAATGGGCTCTGAATTCCGTTGCGGCTGAAGTGCCACATGCTGAGGTCCGCCCAACTGATTGGGGCTTCGGGTTATGAAGTGATGAGCTTGCGACGTCATGTCCTGTAACGAGAAATATCCGATGAAACAAGTCTGTCTTCGCCGCTCAAGAAAACCGACAAGCGATCTGTTATGAAGCCTCAGAGAGAGGATTGATTGATCCACGGGTTTTTTAATTTCTCCGACTTCCTTGATCACCCCTATTGAGATAAGTTCCTCTCTTCCAAAGGTCCCGAGTAGAACACGCTATTCGGTATTGACAGTTCTCACCCTGCCCCCTCCCCGTACCAGGTTCCAAATCATGTCGTTCCCTCCGATTTTATCAGAAGTCTTCTCTTCGGATTTCTGCTTCCGCTCACTGACAGTGATTGGAGACAGTCGTGGAGCCAAGCCAGGGCATGGCATCGGATTTCGCGTAACATGAGCGCAGTTTTAGAGAAAAAACGTCACGACCGCCTTTGAGCTGATCCCTCCTCTGAGGTATGCCCGACGCTCTCCTTTCTTCTGGATCAGATAGGAAGGGGGAATCATATCTGGCAACCGGAGATCTCCTCATGAAGTGGCAAATCTTCCGCTCGGTTTTTCCTTTTCTCATTGCGGGGAGATCTGAAGGTTTCCGCCCGTTCCAGCGTCACGCGAGCGTACTCGCCGATGTCTGACAAGTGTCTCACGGAATTACGACAGGATGCCGCATTCGGGAACAAGTGAGACTTCTCCTGCCACATGTCGTGGCGTTGCGATGCCCGTAAATGCTAGTGCCTGGTGGCGTTCCCGCGCGATTCGAAGCGCACCGTGGAAGAAGTCATCATGGAAACGTCAGGAAGCTGACCACAATGTTCGGAAGAACACTTCCGATGTCTTCAGAGAAACACACAATTTTCTCCTCTTGTTCATTTTCTTTTTTCCAATTTATTTCTCGCCGTCGCCGCTGACGTTGCCTATGTTTTCGGCTCAAGCCACACATTGTCGCCGGGACGGCTTCTACCGTGAGACGATCGCAATCATGGTCATTGAGCCGTTCTTATAATTATGGAGAAGAGACGCTTTAAGACATTAGTAGATTCCGGATCAGGGGCGAATCTACCGTGAGAATCGGTGCCAATGACTTTCGACTTTTCTCATTCGTCAGGCTCTCCGGCGGAGAGCGCCAGATCATCCTTCCAGAAATCTCAGAATCGCCGAAGAAAATCTACGGTTTCGCAACGGTCAGGAAAATCGGTCGATGAGAGTAAACAATGGTGCTCGACCTCCGTTTTTCTTCTGGTGTTCCGATCGACGACATCATCGGTGACGACCACGACAAGAACGAGGGCGATCGAAAGAAGAAACAAAAGCAACAGCAGCACAAGAAAAACAAGCCACAACGGAAATATAGGAAACGGTTGTTACCGCCCAAATCGTTCCGATTATCGTCGACCGACCCAACGATATATAAAAGTTATTGGAAACACTGACGTCAGACATTCTTCTCAGACACTACTGCGACTCACTCACTCACTCACTCAGCCTTCCCAGGGCGCTCATTCTCGGATTGTTGGAGATAGCTCATTTTTCGGTGACGTGGTTCTCGGAAAGAGCAAACGTTTACCTCATGGAGGGATTTTGGTGGTGTCAAGAGAAGGTAGAAATTATCGTTTCGACAGGCGTGAAGGCGAGGCGAGAACATCCACCGAGGATCTTAACAGAACATATTTCCGACATCGGCGAGTCATTTTTCGTTCCTGGTGAGCTTCAAGGGAGAATTCGGACGATGAAGTCTACCTGCTACGAAATCGGAAACTACTCCCGCATTCGAGTGAAACAGCGACAGAAATATAGCTCGTCCTAATCGAAGTGAGCGATCGCCCAGATTAGAATGTCACGGCTCAGATGTTCGCTCAGTCAGTCAGGATTCGCTCGATCCCAGAGACAGCCGAGATTGCATCTGCAGTAATGATTCACGAGCCCCAATATTGCGGAATTGCGTCCGAACATTCGAAAAGTGGTCAGTGTCCGCAGAGCGGTAATTCCAAGCGATTCGGGGCGATACGCAAACACATCTCCAGGATAGCAATGGAATCGAATGATCATGTCTTTACTTTGCGGTGGTGTTTGCTCTGAAACCCCATTATCCTCTTCTTCTCATCGGATTCCGATCATCCGCTTTACGCGCTGTTTTCGATAACCATCTCGGTATGTTTACCTCTTCCTTCAACTTCGACTCGAGCCATTCCGCATGAGCATCGGTTTAACGAATCCGTTGGTAGGAATCCGAATTCGCTGAACATCTCTCCTCAACGAGCTTAAGGGTCGCGAAGAAGCAATTTGAAATATATCGACAGAAATCCGAAGAAGATATCGAACGAGCTCCCGCCGCTGTAGAGGGACATGAAGAATAAAATGGGAAAAATGAAAGCATCCGTTCTTGAATCTTCTGAGCACGAAGACAACGGGAGATCGTGTTCCTTGAAGACGATGATGACGACTCCCTGACAGTGCGCGGCGGACGCACAGAAAGCCTAGCGAAAAACCGACGGTTGAAAAGGAAAATCGCAGATCCACGAACTCATCGGAACGAGGTATTGACGAAGCCCTCGAAAAAGGACTTCCCGTCTTCTCTCGAATTAGTCCATCAACGGAGTCGGAAAATGAAGACGTTTCGTGCCTTGAATATCCGAGGCTGGATGAGCTTGAATTCCTCAGATTATGATCGAACTCACGACTTCAGGCGTAAATACCGTCTTCTGATCGCGGCGAATTGGATCCGCGCCTCAAAAGTCCCCACGTTGATCATCCCGGAATCCTCAAACGGAGGATTATTAGGTATTCCGAAATGAACATCCCGAGCGACGGGGAAATCGTATCTCAGACTGTCGTGAGAGATTCGATTAGAATTTGTGAGATGCGAGTCGAAAGGTGAGAAAGGAAAGAAAAAAAGAGATATTATCCATAAGGGGATAAACGACGCGGACTGGCGAAGATTGAGAGCATCAATTTATCATTGACTCGTTTTGTTCGGTACCAAAACATCCTTATCTAGTTATGTATTGTGTTCATTTCTTGAGCTTCTTCGTTCTGCGCTCAGCGGGATTAAGCTCGAACCAATTAATCGCGGGAAAACAGCTGATAAATATCCAATAGATTATTGTATTCCGAGCTATTCGTCTGTCTTCTTGCTCTCCATACTGTCGGATGCCCGCACGGGTGCATGAGCAAGCGTTCCTCTCCTCTGACGTTGATCTCCAGATAACGGTCGGGCGCCGAGAGAGAAAAATGGGAGAATTCCAATGACCGCGACAGCTCGACCGAAGGCAGGAATCGAGCGTTTCAATTTTCAATATCTCCGGCAGATTTCGGAGGGTGACGCGAGCCCTCTACGCCACGAGGCTTGGCTGCAAGGTCCACGAGAAATTACATGAGTCGGAGAAGAAGAGAAATATGCTAAACGAGCGGACAAGAGATAAGCCCCGATACTGGGTATCCGTGAGTGATTCGCGGTGCGATTGGAGGTGGTTCGGAAGATTCGGAGACGGTATTTCGATACGGTGCGAACACGCTGCGTTTCGAAAAGAGATTTCCGAGTATCTCCCCATCCGAGAGCGTCTCCTTGGCACGCGGCAGGAAATGGCAGGAAAAATTCATGGGCGGATATTCCTCGATAATGAGCGAGCGGAATCCGAGTCTTCGTCACTTTCGGAATCCTCAAGCACTGAATCCTTCGGATCAACAGGATGCACGCAAGCAACAGAGGAGCGCCGATGAGGTGAAATTACACACTTGCCGTTGAAGGTTGTCAATCACCGAGTGAGTTCAACGAATGCGCTCGAATCTTGGGTGACATCTATTCTTCGGAAGCCGTTCCGCCTCAACGGGCGCTTTCACGAAAGGACCAGTCAGCCGAGCAGCAACAAAGCCTCGCCGAAGACAAAGACTTGACCCAACGATCAGGAATCCAATCCGAAACACTCGAATAGAATAGGATTACGGAACGGGACAGAAGGGGCGCGAAATATGGAAACCGAGCGGAGAACACCTGGAGAGTGAACGAGAAGAGATTTCTTCATATGAGAGCACTTGATTGGCAGGGAGCCATCATACCGCCAGCCGTTACGGGCTCGCGAAACTCTTACACGCGAAATTATATTCAGCCATTACGGACGAAAGAAAGTTCGGTCGCGCCGGACTTTTGTAGCATCCGACAATTAATTAGACTTGCCCCGACCGGTTGCCGGCGCGAAGCCGGTCGCGTTGATGGTATTGGATTTCATCGAGTCTGTGAATTTTCGTCTGATTCACCGCAGTATCGGACGACCATCGAATCGAGCCAAATTCAGGAGCAGCAAGCACCCAATAATGCTAAACTGCATTCTCCGCAACACCTTGCCCAGTTTCGCTCGCATGCATCGATACTTCCACCGACTCCAGGAGCGTCATCAACGTTTTTGTCGGAAATACTGCGGCAGTTGAGATCAGGAATCGTGTTTTCGTCTCCGCATCGAAGATTTTTCTTGTGTTTTGCTTGGAAATTGTTTTTTTTTCGCTCCATCTCGTTCGTGTAGCTAACGACATTCCCATCAACTCGCGTCTCTTTCGCCTGAGCATCACGATTTCCCTCGACAATTCATCAATTTCGTAGACGCCCTTGTTGCACTTGATCCATTCGATACGGTGCTTCTCGACGATGCTCTTGATGTCATTATTGAGCGCGTTGTTGTTTTCGGTATTTCTAGTAGTTGTTTTTATCACAGAGAATGTTGTTCGTCTACGCTTGTCAAGCCTTACGAATCGAGTTTGGAAAGCTTCTCGAAATTGCATACACACAACGGTGGGGGACGATTACGTAAATTCGCGCTGGACGGGCTTGATACCTTTTTCCCACCGGGAGAAGGGCTACAAAATAGCAAGGGACTTCAGTTGCCGATTCGAAGCAGCTTTCAAACGGTCTTCAATCAGCCGTCGTTGTTCTTGTCCCTGTCGTTGTTGTACGGAGGCGGCGGCTCGTCCGACTGACGGCGTATTCATTGCAGAAGAAAGAGCTCGTCGCAGCCGCGCAATTCATTGACACTCAATCGATCGCTTGCATCGGAGGCTGACAAGCCAGACGGGCTTCGGACGCTCGTGGATCGTCATCGGTCGCGTCGCGGTTGTCCATCTTTGCGAAACCCTGAATTCACTTCTCAGATTGTCGTAATCGAAATTAAATAAAAGTCACAGACATGGATTAAAACTAATGTGACCTTCGTACTTTTATTCACGAGGCTCTCTCGGTCTCAAAACCTTTACAGCAAAGCGGCTGCGTCGACGGCGTTCGCCCGAAGATGAAT